CCACCCGGCAGGTGTTGATCATTTCCTGTTGCTCTCATCGTATTCTTCTCTTGGCCTCCGCATTCGTGGTGGGGTTTTAATTACTGCAATTATCACCTTATGTCCCTCAGACTGGATTGTTCCCAAATAGCCCTTTCGCCCATCCATCCATTCCTTCCATTTTCTCAAAACCCCCCGGTTTTTAATGAGCAGTGCAACTCCTCCCCCCTCTCCTCCCTCTGTCTTTCTGAAGATTTGATATCGGAGGAAAGATTGAATCTGTTATTATTCTGGTGAGTTTTGTTTCTGTGAGTGTATTATGTCTGGGGATGTCTCTTTGATTCTTTCGTGCCATCCTCATATTTTTGTTATTCCCTTGCATTTGTTAAAACCCCACCTTCAACTTCTTTTCTAAGACTGTGGTTTGGGGGGGGTTTTTGGGGTTGGGGGGTGGGAGACCGGTAAGGAAATATGGGTTGTTGCTGGGGGGTGAAGTTGAATGAGTGGGGGGGGCATTGGAGGGCATGGGGTGTTTTGATTTTGAGTGTTTGGTTTACTGGGGGTTTACCGGTTGGGGGCTTCTATAGAAAGTTGTGAGGGGGGGCTGTATTAGATTTCTTCCTGGGTCTGGGATCTCCCTTTTGTCTTTTCCCCTCCCCCTCTTTCCCCCTTTCGCCTTTTACCTCTCTCTCAGTTTCTTCCCTTTTTTCTTGTGTTCTGTCGCGGTCGAATACACCCCCCTGTATGCCTATGTCCCTTAATCTGCTTTCTCCTGCAGTTCCTGGTCCGAGCGTTCTGCCTTGAAGGTCACTCTACTGGCCGGGTTTTTTTTTTACAAAACCCCCCCTTTTTTCCGAAAAAATTTTTCCCCTGGGTCATATGCTTCTCCTATTGCTTTCATGAGCTTTTTAAAATTTCTTTTTTTTCCCCCGTTTTCTTGTTTATATGTTTCCCCTTCGACTTCCTGGAGCCCATAACAAAGACTGCCTCACCCTTTTATTTCCCCCGATATCCCCGTGTATCCCATTTTAATTTGGTTTCCCCCGCACTTTCCTTTCATCAGTTTCACTGGCTTTAAGACTTGGGTCAGTGGCCTTCATTTTTCCCTTTCGGGGTTTCCTTGGGCTCTGTTGTTGTCTGTTAGGGCCCCCACATAAAGCTTGCTCTTTCATTTGCTACAGTTCCTCTGATAGAGCATCTCCCTGCAGTTGTTTCCCCTTCTTTCCCTACGTCCCCCTTTTTTGTGGCTGAGGTACGTCTCTGATTCAATCCCAATTGTTCTTTTTCTTTATGCTGTTTGATTTTTCAGTTTCCTCTTCTAAATCTGTATCCTAGCTTCTCTGTTTTGACATGCCCCTCCCCTTCCGCTTTCCTATCTATCCTCTCTTCCATTCTTGCTAGTTCTTTTTGTTTCTTTTCCATTATATCCCTTTTTATGACTCTGCTGCCCATCTTCTTTGATTTTCCTCCCTGCCCTTGGTTTTTCTTGTTTCTCTTGAACCCTTTTTGTTTTATCCTGATTGCCTGGTGGGAAACCCATGTAGTTCTGTAGTTAGGTTAGAGTGTGGTGTCAGAGTGTGGGGGGGGGGGGGGGGGGAAAAGTGGAGGAACTGTGGCTATTTGGAGCGAGTGGGGAGGGGTGGGGGGGGTTTGGGGTGGGGGGGGGGAGGGGGGGGGATCGAGGGGGGTGGGGACAGGGGGAAAAGTGAATGTCGGTGGTGAGGGGGGGTGTTGGTTGGGCTGGGTATGTGTGGGGTGTGTGTGTGGTGTTGGTTGTGTGTTTGGGGTGTGTGTGTGTGTGTGTGTGTGTGGGTTTTTAGTGTGTAATTTTGTGTGTAATTGTGTGTGGAAATTATGTGGGGTTTTTTAGTATGAAAGGTAGGTGGCTTGTGCGTTTTAAAGGGAAAATTTGTGGTCCTTGGCTGCCCACACCTTTTTTGTGACCCCGACCAACCTCCTGGGATTTACCCCATTTACAGGTGGGTGGTGCGTGTGTGTGTGTGTGTGTGTGTTGGTGTGTTGTTTTTGGGTTTTGTGTGGTGGGGTGTGGTGTGGGGGTTTTGATGTGTGTGTTGTGTGTTGGGGGGGGGGGTATGTGGGTTTTTGGTGTGTAGGGTGTGTTTTGTGTTTTGTGTGTTTGTGTGTGTAGTGTGTGTGGTGTGGTGTGTGTGTGTGGTGTGTGTGTGTGTTGTGTGGTGTGTGTGTGTGTGCGTGCGCGCGCGCAAAATCTGTATGTATTTATTGTATACGGGGTGTGGGGGGGGGGGTAAAGGGGTTTTCCTTTACCTCACGGCACAAACAAAACCCCCGACGCCCATCTTCCTTCCCCGCCCCCCACTGTGTCCCTTTCGAAGCCCAAAACTAATGCTCTTTGAAGCTCTTCCAGTTCCTCCCCTTTTTTCCATTGCTTCCCTCTAACTTTCCTCCCCTTTCTATTACTCTTTTTTCCCCGCCCCCCTCCCTTTCCCTCTTCCCCCTTTTCCTCCTCTCCCTCCGTTTCTGCCGCCCCCCGTTTTCAAATTCCCTTCATTCCTCCCGTTTTTCTCCCCCCTCCCTTTTATTCCCCTTTTCTATTTTCCATGAAAAGGAATTTTTAGATAAAGAATTTTTCTAAAAGAGACACTTGTGAACTAGGGTTCTTTATTCGAAAAAGTTCACCTCTCATTGTTATCAGTATAACAAAAAGAATGGTGAAGATCAGAAGGAGTTTGAGTATTTAGTCCCCACCTAGAGTCGATGTGTTCAGACCATTAATCTTGATAGACTAAACATATCGATTCCAGTCTGAGGGACTGATTACCTCAAACTTCTCCTCATCTTTCACCTTTCACTGCATTGGACTGAAGAAGTCACTGACTGGCGAAATGTTTCCAGAATAAAGATACTCAAATGTTGCACAAGTGTCTCATTTATCAACTTGTCGTTTTTCTAAACTGTTCATTCACAGTATATATTTTACACAACGTTTTAAATAATTAATAATTAGTTTAAACCTACTAACACTTAATTGACGCCATAAAACTGTCTTGTTTCGTATCTTTCACGACGTTTAGTAAGTGATTTAGTCTTTTAAACACAGTTGAAAGTTGAATAGAACGTAAAATGGATAAGTTGATGTTTGACGGTTACATGAAAAGATGGTTGGATGATTGGTCAGATGAATGGATGGTTGGATGATTGGTCAAATGAATGGATGGTTGGATGATTGGTCAAATGAATGGATGGTTGGATGAATGGATATTTGGATAAATAGATGGCTGGATAAATATAGATGGATATAAGATGGTAAGGTAGATTAGCTAAAACACAATACTAAGGTGAAATCTGTAATTCTGGTAACGAGTCACAGGTAAGACGGTGAACACTGTGTCTTTGGTCCACAAACAGGGAGGAAAGTCATTTCTCGAGTCGGTGAGGAATTTTTGAGGAGAATCTTTTTAATTTGCGAGGTCACTTGTATAAAATTTACGCTTCAGCTCCGCACAAAACTCTCTCTTGACGTATTCAGACGGAAATGTAAGATTGTTTTTTTTTATTATTCTTGCTCCACCTTGAGTCTGTAAGAAGTGGCGAGTTGACAGCTGGTTCTAGGGTGTGGCTGAATGACAATTGGTTCTAAGAGATGGCTGACTGACAGCTGGTTTTACGAAGTGGCTGGCTGACAGCAAGCCCTGAAAGAGTGGCGAACTGTAAAGACTGCTTAAATGCTACCTGTTGATTAATTGATGGTTTCAGAGGTTAATGACCCCGTGGCTCGGTCCGGGACCACGCCTCCTGATTACTGGTGTGATCACCACCCCGTGCTCGGTCCTGGACCAGGCCTCCTGGTTACTGATGTGATCACCACCCCGTACTCGGTCCTGGACCAGGCCTCTTGGTTACTGGTGTGATCACCACCCCGTGCTCGGTCCTGGACCAGGCTTCCTGGTTACTGGTGTGATCACCAACCCGTGCTTGGTCCTGGACCAGGCCTCCAGGTTACTGGTGTGACCACCACCACGGCTCAGTCGATCACGAAATAAATTAAGGAACTTGTCGCGTTTCTTCTTGAAGACGGCATGGAGTGTTTAGGTACTTGCGCCTCAGCTGTTCAGCTGAGGTGCAAGTACCTTCGATATACGTTCGTAATACCTTTGAAAGGTATCGAGAGTTTTTCCCATTGGCCCAACACGGCCCTGAGCCAAGCTATATCTGCCTAGTTCATTAGATATAGGACTCAGGATCTTATAAAAACCCTCCTTTCATACATCAAGGGAATAGCCAAAACACAAGTACAAGATATCCACCTGTACAGGTGAATATTTTGTACTATCTGCCTAGCGTCTCTCTCTCTCTCTCTCTCTAGTAATTTCAGTATGGTGATTTAGAACCAGTTTTTCAGTTATTTCCAGATATAAATTGTGTTGTGTCTTTATCTCTGGCATTCCAGGGAATATAGTCTGATGGACATTAAGCATTCCCAGTAACTTGGGTGTTTGGATATATACGAGCAGTGAAAGTTCTACATACATTCTCCAGGTCTGTATTTTCACCTGCCTTAATGGGATCGTTAGTATAGAACGGGATTCTATTCAAGCGAAACTTGATGTCAAAATTATGATCATTGGTTTGACATCTCTTGTTTTTTTTAAAAATTCTTGCTATTCAACCTTTTTTTTTCCTGTAGCTTTGACAGTAATTTTGTTAAAATCTTCAAACCTAAGGTCTCCTGACTAGATTAACCTGAACTCTCCATCTGCTGATGTTTAAGAGTGTTTTATACTCTGTTTATTTTTTGTTTTTCTAATTTTCCACACTGGAATGACTGAAATGTGTCTTGGTTGTACATCAGACTAACATATTTGCATTTACAGTGTGCTTCTTTTTTTTTTGTTTATCCACTAATTCCGGTTGAAAATATGTTGTTTTAGTTATCGGTTTATAATATGTTACCCCATATGCTGTTGCTGTCTCATTGTCTGTTATTACTACTGTTTGCTGTTGTCTCTTTACCTCTGCTTATATGTTTTTGTCCTCCTCAGATACCTCGGCGGCGCTGTCCCTGCTGGAGCGCATCCAGCGCTCCATGAAGGAAACAGACGAGACCAAGTTGTCAGACCAGTGCAGCAACGACCTCAACACGCTCATCTCCGTCCTAGAGAGTCCCGTCTTCAGGGGCATCATCAACATACAGGTGAGTTAAAGTGAACAGGTATACCTACCTGGTCCGACTTGGACCATTTACAAGTCACACTAACATTTACAAGTCACGGTATTGTGCCTTTTTCTTCAAGATGAGATGTACACAAATGCAATTAAATGTAAGTTTTTTTTCTATACGTTTCGCCATGTGTGTGTGGGGGGACGAAACGTCTTCGATAAAACTTTCATGCAACTGCATTTTTTACGTTTGTTTTTACTATTTCTCATTTATGGGAGTTATAGCGCAAAGGTGGACTTGTTTCTCACCTTTACATTAGACTGATAAAAACACTAGCCACTGCTTCCTACCACCGACTCCCATTGTTTAATGGGAGTCGTCTCGGTAGAAGACAAAAATTCAAAACATGTATAAAAAAATAAATCCAGTGGGCATAGGAAAATAAGAGATGTTCAATTTATATTGAACCTCTAAGGTTGTATACATTTTTAAAACAGCGAGTGTTACCCTGTCTCCCTTGAGGAATTTAAGAAATTCAAGATGGCTGCCAAAGTGGTCACAGATCTTCCATTACTACTAAAATACTTGTAGATGAACACGACTACTGCTTTTTTGCGATTTATTGCTGTAATTTTTTAAAGTAAAGGAATTTACTTTTTTGTACTTTCATACCGATAAGGATAGTGGTAGGATGATTCCATGTAAATTAGATATCCAAGATGGCTGTCATCCTTACCGTAGTGGTTACAAGTATCTGAGATATTCTTTCCCAGCGTCCTACTGGTGGAGAACTTTCTCACTCGGTATTGTTAGAGTAAGACCACCTTGACCATGTCACTGTTGCATTAACATCGTCTTAGTAAACATATCCGTCCATTGATTGTCGTATTATTATTATTATTACGTACCATGCCATGGTCCTTGTCATGTCGAACTTGCCTCTATGCAATAATTCATTTATTTTAGTTGTGATGTGTTATAATTGGTTATTTTTCATTGATAGACGAATAGCTAACCTAACCTAAATACTAATGAGAGTTACCCTAATGTTCAGAGAACACAGTGAAGGTAATACGGACAAGACTAGGAAAATATTTGACAGGGTGGATTATGAATATTTTCAAAACTAAAGAAGGAACATCAATTCTGGTACTGATGGAATCACTTGTGCTTTCACATCTCGTATATTGTTGTGTGATGACAGCGTCTTTCAAGGCATGGGAGACGTTGTCAGAGATGGAAAATGCTGAGAAGTCGTGTGCTAGTGCAGAGAATTTGTAAAACATCTGAACTATTGCGAATGTTTCCAGGCATTTGGAATTTACTCTCTGGAGCAGAGACAAACCTGTTAGCATTTTCAGGAAAATACATGACAGGGGCCCGTTCTTCATACTGTTATTACCACTTCCTTTGTTCTTTTCATCACCTTTTCTTCTCAGCTGTCCTCTTCCTTTACCTCTCCTCCGTCCTCTTTGTCTCCCTCTCTTCCGGTCTCTACCTCTCACCCCTCTCCGCTGTCGTCTTCTCTTATTTCTTCCTCCCCCACTCTCTTCCCCTCTCACGACATTTCATATTTCTCTCCCTCTCGTCTCTTCACCGTCCTCTTCCTCCTCTTCTCTCTTGACTTATTCGAGTTGATCTGCACTCCATCTTGGCCGCGTGATATAGTGAAGACCAATGCCAACGCCAGCTAGATGGAATTGGCTTTTGATGTTGAGGGAAGGTGAATCTCCTTCTTGAATACTGGAAAAAATACTTTCCACTTGCCTGACTTTAAAGTTTAGTAACTTTTCCTGCTGGGCTTAGTGGCTCACTCCTCTGCTCTCAGCCAGTACTTTTACACTGAGGGTTAACCATCTTTGTTTATCCTTCTGTCTGTCTTGCAGTCTCTCTATATATCTATCTCTATCTCTCTAAACCATTTGCCCATAAGGCTATACCTGTGATATATCAGTGACCGGTTTCGAGAAGTATTTTACCCTTCCAGACTGGCCTGAGGCCATGTTTTGGCCATTCAACCAGGCTGTTGCTGTTGGCGGCCCTTAAGCCTAGATGACCATCACAGCCTGATTGATCTGGCACTTGGCAGAGCTAGCAGTCCAATTTCCTATTGGAATTTTTTTATGCTTGTTCCGGCAATATTTCTGATATCTGCTGGTAGCAGGGTGAATAGTCTTGGTCCACTTATGGTTACAGTATTCTTTTATTGTGGTTTGCCTCCTTTCCTTCACCCCTCCCTCCTCGTATCCCCCTCTCCTTTCCCTCCTTTCTTTTATCCCCTTCTCCCTCACTCTCTCCCCCTTATCCCTTCTCGCCGTCCTCTTCTCCCTCTCTCCCTCCATCCTCTTATCTCCGTCTCCATACCTCTCTCCTTTCACCCTTCTTTCCTTTTATCTCCCCTCTCCCTTCTCCTTTTTATCCCTCTCTTCCATTCACCCCTCCCTCCCTCTTTTCACTCCTTCCCTAATACAAGAGGCCTCACCATTCCTTTTGGTCCTCGCTGATCTGTGTTGTGAGAGGTAAGGACACAGCAATTCCCTGATGGACTCTCGACTCTTACGTTGTGAAAATGAAAAATTTTTTTTTTAAGCGGTTCTTTGCTTCACTAAGAATTCCTGGTCTCTCAGAGGTGTTCTCAGTCCCTGAGAGGTGTTTGCAGTCCCATTGTGGCGTTCTGAGTTCTCCTGAGGCATTCCCAGTCCCACTAAGATGTTCTGAGTTCTCTTGAGGCATTCCCAGTTCCACTAAGATGTTCCCAGTCCCAGTAAGACGTTTCCAGTCCCATTGAGATGTTTCCTGTCCCATTGAGGCGTTCTCATTGAGGCGTTCCCGGTCACATTGTGGCCTTTACAGTCCTCCTGAGGCATTCTCAGTCACAGTAAGATTTTCCCAGTCCTATTAAGACTTTCCCAATCCCATTGAGATATTCCCAGTCTCATTGAAACATTCTCTCGCATTCCCCATCTACCCCTCTCCACCCTCCCTGGATCCTTCCCTCTCATCTACCCCTCTCCATCCTCCCTGGATCCTTCCCTCTCATCCTTCTCTTATTTTACTAATAATAATATTGCCTTGCTCCGTAATGATGAATATATCTTTATAAATTCTATTCCTTCTGTGTGGTATAGACCATTCTGAGAACTCCAGCTCTGCTGGAACGGAACCTCTGGAATCTTTGGTCCAGTGGTCCTCAACCTTCCTACGCAAGTCGACCACATTTGGTCAAATGTGTGATGAGGGCCACACGGTTTTGTTGACACTGTGCACTGTGGAACCTACATAAAAGTGAATTCATAATTTCATGTGAGGGCCGCATCCATTTCCTAGAAGGGCCACATGAGACCCTCGGACCGCAGGTTGGGGACCTCATGAATTCTATACTATAGCTACTGACCCCACAGTGCAGTGTTTAACGATATCCTCCGCCGAGATTGACAAAATCACTTAATGTACGAAATCCATCCAATGTGATGGAATAAGACAGGGGAACCATTCTGTGTGATGGAATATGACAGGGGAACCATCCTGTTTCATGGAATATGAAAGGGAAACCATCCTGTGTGATGGAATATGACAGGGAAACCATCCCACGTGACGGAATATGACAGGGAAACATAGCTAGCTTTTGTTCCTACTGTGTAACTGTCGTACAGAAGAGTGCAACAGCACACTGCTGATGTATTCAATCTTAATATAATCTCTCTCTTTCAGGATTACCTTCCTTTCCTCTCTCTTGCTCTCCTTTCCTTCTTCCCCTTTTCCTCTCATCCTCCCCCCTTCCCCTCCCATCCTCCCAGTTTTCCCTTTCATCCTTTCCCTCCTTATCTTTTTCCATTTTCTCACCCATCCTCCCCTTCTCCCTTCTCTTTTCCCTTTCTCTTCTTCTCCCTTCCTCTTTTTCTCCTCACTTCCTAATTTTCTTGCTATTCTATCTTCCTCTTTTTCTCCCTTACGTTTTCCCCTATTCTCCCTTTTCATCTTATAAATTTTTCGTTCTGTTCTCCCTCATTTTCTCACTATTCTCCCTTTCCATTGCTCTTCATCTTTTTTTCTCCCCTTCTCTCTTCCCAATTTTCTCCCTATTCCCCTTCCCAGTTTTCTATCCCTCTTTTCTCACTCCTGTTATTCCTCCTCACACCTCTTCTCCCCTCCTCCCACCTCTCACCTCTACTACCTTCCCACCTCTCACCTCTCCTACCTTCCCTCCTCCCACCTCTTCTCCCTTACCCCTCCTCCCTTTCTTATCCTATCTTTCCCTTCCGCCCTCTGCCCATCCTCCTTCAGAAGGAGTGGATGTCTGCCGTGTGTTCTAGTCTTTTTCCACTCTCCCAGATACTGCCTTAATGATTTGTACAGCATGTTGTCCAGTTCTCTTCACTGGCTCATTATCTCTCTACTCACCCAGTTGTGTTTGCAGGGTTCGAGTCTCGGCTCCTTACGGCGCATCTGTCACTCTAGTTTCCACATGTGTTTCCTGTCTCTAGTTAGTCAGTCTTCGTCTGCCTCTCATTGTACATTGTGATCATATCTCGCATAGTTCTTGTCTCCGCTAGGGTCTACTTGGTGGGTGTTCCGGGGGTCAACACCCCCGCGGCACAGTCCATGACCAGGCCTCCCGGTGGATCAGGGCCTGATCAACCAGGTTGTTAATGCTGGCCAAACATAGTCCAACGGCTGATAGGGTGCAGTCTATCTTGATTTGCCTGTTAGTTCCTCTTAGAATTTTGTACGTTGTAATCGTATTTCCCATATTCCTGGTGTTTGCTAAGGCGATCAAGTTCAGTTGTTTCAACCTGTCCTCTTAGAGCAGTTCTCTCTGTACTGGGACTCCTGTATAGTCCTTGTGGCTTAGCGCTTCTTTTTGATTATAATAATAATAATAATGTACTGGGACTGTCCTGCGGTTGCAAGTCATTAGACGTTTTCGGCAGGACAGACAACTCTTGTTCTCTCACTTTCAACAGTATAACAAGGTAGTTTCATCTTCGACAGACAACTCTTGCTCTCTCACTTTCAACAGTATAACAAGGTAG